ACAGTTGTATTATGTGCATTTTCAAACATGTAAACTCGTGCCTTGCTTCATGTTAATTCTGCAGTAATAATTGCTGCTTTTGTCTCCAATATGAATATAAAAATTATTCAAAATATATCTTATTTTATATGCTCCCCCACTAGCACTCTGTAATTTTCTTCTTTTTTGATGTGTAACTCATTACTTTGGTGGTGAGAAATGTTTTTATTTAGTTAGAGTAAATTTTGTTCTGATAATTGCATTGGTTGTTTATTTTAGTTAAGACACATTTCATAGTTTAGTTCCTTATTTCTCGATTAATTACTGTTTATTTTTTTGAAAGGAACTCTTTTTAATTTTAGTACAATTTCTTTCTTTTTTTTTTTGGAGAGGTTTTCGCTATAGGGCGCGTGCACTCGCCAGACAGAGAGAGACATGTTTAGAGATGAACACATTTATGCGTATACAAAATTAATACATAATATGTAGGTGTAATTAAATTTATGTATTGTCTGAACATATGCGTTTGGCGGGGTGTGTGTGTGTATGTCTACTTTTACATATATTGATATATGTATAGTTTTTCTCAAAAGCTAATTCAGTACATGGCAAGACAGTTCCCTTTAAGGAATAACTTGCAGCATTATACTTTTTTATATTTTTATTTTTATTTATTTAATTTTTCATGGTAACTCATTAAAATAATCAAATTTGATTATAACCCATAAAGGATGAACAGTTGTATTATGTGCATTTTCAAACATGTAAACTCGTGCCTTGCTTCATGTTAATTCTGCAGTAATAATTGCTGCTTTTGTCTCCAATATGAATATAAAAATTATTCAAAATATATCTTATTTTATATGCTCCCCCACTAGCACTCTGTAATTTTCTTCTTTTTTGATGTGTAACTCATTACTTTGGTGGTGAGAAATGTTTTTATTTAGTTAGAGTAAATTTTGTTCTGATAATTGCATTGGTTGTTTATTTTAGTTAAGACACATTTCATAGTTTAGTTCCTTATTTCTCGATTAATTACTGTTTATTTTTTTGAAAGGAACTCTTTTTAATTTTAGTACAATTTCTTTCTTTTTTTTTTTGGAGAGGTTTTCGCTATAGGGCGCGTGCACTCGCCAGACAGAGAGAGAGACAGAGAGACAGAAAGCGAGAAATCATCCCCCAGAGGGGATGGTCACGCCACAATCCCTTCTCCTCCATTCCCCTCTTGAGATCTTGGGCACACACGCACACACGCCCGGCGTGAGTTTAAGCCACCGGGTCCGGGACGCAAACCGCGGTCGACTACGTGGGAGTCCAGCGACATAGCCATTACGCTAACTGCTGGTTCCCAGTACAATTTCTTTTGAAATGCATATTAAAAACAAGTCCTCCAAATATGCATGTAACAAGTTTGGAAACACCAAAATTACATTTGGGGGAATATAAATTGATAAGATATTCAGTTATTTTGAAACCTTAGGATAATAGTTACTTCTCAAATCCCTAATGATTTTTTCTAAAAATTTAAACTATTAATATATGTTTAAATAAATGGATGGACAGATATATGATAGGTCTATTATTAACACATGCTATAAAACATTTCTACATGTACATCTGTATGCATATCTATGCTTATGCATTCAAATAGTCCCGTATAGCCTTACCACATATACACACCTAAACTCCGTGTCTGTGTGTTGGGGGGGGAGATTGGCATTACATAAAAATAATAATAGATTTATACATGTGTCTACAAACTAATGAATAAAACCTTTTGATTGTTATTCTTAAACAACATTAGGATTATGTTTCTATTCCTGTAAGTATAATCAGTATCATAGTACCAAGTACAACTTTTTTTTTTCTTTCTTTTTCTTAGATTTTTGCCATAGGGCACATGTGTTCATGGGGGGGGGAGTGAGAAGTCACCCCCAAGAAAGGTGGCCACACCACAATCCCTTCTCCTCCTGATTTAGGGCACCTATGCACACGTGCCCAGTGTAATTTTCAAGCCATCAGTTCTAGGACTCGAACCACAGAGCCATCCCTGTGGGATCCAGCACCTTAACTATTAGCCACTGCTGACCCACAACTTTTCTTAAATTGTGCCCTGGAACAGGCAGCAACGCAAAGGACCCTAGTCACGTTCATTTGAGAACTAGAACCTACGGTGTCTACCCCGCCCACACTCCTTCCCAGAGTCTGGTGAGCATGCTGTATATCATTGGCGCCTGGAGTAGGTTCTGTTTACCTTGCGTAAACCGGCATCTCCGTATTTGCTTAGGCTAGCTTTTCCTCAGCTCGTCTACAAGCATTTCAAGGACCAAAGTTCCAGTAATAGTGCTGGAAATACTACTGTAGAAGAAAATCAGACAGAGAAAGAATTCTAGGATCCTCGCTCCACATGTATTATAAAAATGTATTATTATCTCTATGCAACAGAAAACATGCTGGCCCAGAGGACCAACAACATTTAGACCAGTAGTTGTGTTTACTTTGTTTTATATATATGTAATATGTGTGTATATCTATATCTATCTATATATATGTCATGTATAGAAAAATATATATTATATATCTATATCTATGTAGATATAGGTATAGAAAAATATATATTATATATCTATATCTATGTAGATATAGATATACAAATTTGTTGTGATTTTCAAGATTCTGGGTCCAGGACTTGAACTGGATCTACCATGTGGGAATCCAGCTCTTCAGCCACCATGCCACCTGCTGGCCCCTTTGTTTAGTTTTTTTCAGAATGAGGTGAGAAGTCAGGCTCTTGGCTGCAGTACGTATATGCCATTGCAGGTGGATGTATCTTCCCACTGGAAGCCTGGGCTTTGGGACGCTCAAACACATTCATATGGAAGGACATGTCCGTGGATTAGTTGGAAGCCTCATGAATTATTATATGAATTTATTAAATGTTTTGTCTTCATTGATTATGATCTTCCTCCCTGCGCAGAATGATCCAAGGTCTTTTTAGCCGCAGGCTCGTCTTCCCATGCCTTTTCCCTCCTGGCTCTCATGACCTGCACACACATCCCTGTTTTGAACGGGGAGCAGGGGGGTGGAGGAGGGTAAGAGGCGGGAGGCCCTGGCTTGTGATTGTGTCATGAGCCGTTCCTTTTATAGCACACAATTTTCTGACCAGCTCCAAGACTACTAAAGCATAATGCTTAGGAATGGTGTGCTGACACCGTGCAGATAGGTGTGGGGAACAGGTGTTTGGGAGTGCTCTTCACTGTTTGCTTGTATTTCACAGGAGAAGCAATTACACAGACAGGTATCAGATTCAGGGAGTGAGAAGCCAAATGATTTCTAAAGCGTGAACAGAGCTTCCCAACAGCAGGGGCTCATTCCTGTGGTCTCGGAGGGGCTCTACCTTTTCAGGGCTTAGAGAAATCAAATCCTCGTTTGGAAAGGCTTTCTATTTTTTTCCAGTCCTTGCTGATGTCATTACTGTTGCTATGGAGAGGAAGTGAGTCGTGCCTGACATTGCTGGGAAGTCAACACTGACGTACCCTGTGCAGCAAATGATCTACCTCACACTGCGTTTTATATTAGCAAAGCCTTGCTAAAAGTTGTCAGAACAAATACCAAAAAGGAAATGTACCTTTGCCGGAACCATTCTGCCATATGAAAGTCTTGTGAAATTGTACCAAAACAAGTCCCGCCTAATAACAGTAAAGAGTGTGAGATAGGTAGTAACCGTGTGAACTGAGGGAGAGAAAAACATGTTCTGTAAACTGGTCGACATTGTTTCTTTTATTTTGGATCTTTCCCCCTTGGAAATATCCCTTCCACTAGTTTTAAATTTATTTGTTTGTTTGGAGAGGTTTTTGCTATAGGGCACGTGCACTCTCCAGAAAGAGAGAGACAGAGACAGAAAGCAAGAAACCACCCCCCAGAGGGATGGCCACACCACAATCCCTTCTCCTCCATTCTCTCAGGATCTTGGGCACGCACACACACACGCCCAGCGTGAGTTTAAGCCACCAGGTCCGGGACTCGAACTGCAGTCAACTACACGGGAGCCCAGCAACTTAGCCATTACGTCAACTGCTGGTCCCATGATTTTAAATCTATTTTTAACATCAAGTCATTCAGCTGTCCAGCTCACCCCAGTTAGACCTGAGCCCTTAGAAGAAATTAGTGATTTCATATTGAATCATTCCTGACATTCTTTCTTTGCCTGTCCTAGACGCCTGGTTGCCAAGTCAGACATCAAGGGCACACTGAAGATGTCTCAGTGTGGACCCTTAACTTAGAGTCATCTGACCATGAAAAAGGCAGTTCACCATAAACAAGGCTCAAGACTCCTAGTGTTAAGTGGAAAAGCCACTATTTTTTTTAAGAATTATCTTATTGAACTTTATTTATTTCTATATTTATTTATTTAAATTTGACCAGAGAGGGACAGAGAGGAAAGAGAGAGTGAGACAGAAAGTGGGAAAGCAAACCACCAGGCCCAGGACTCAAACCATGGTCGGCCATGTGGGAGTCCAGCTCTCTTCACTACCACATCACCTGCTGGCCCCAGAAAAGCCACTTTTAAAGTATTGTAAGTAATATATATTTATGATGACGTGCTGAATTTTATCATGCTTAAGAAAACAATTAAGATTTTCCATGAGAAAAGTAGCTTGGCCCGGTCTTTGAGATTTAGCACAGGGGAAAAGGACTAAAAGAATAAAAGCGGTTAGGAGAGAAAAGAGGGCATTCGTCAGCCACTTCAATGCCATTTCTGTCTGCGGTGTTCGGTGATACCCGTGGAGGGACTGCAGACTACTCCTTTGTTAAGTGAAAATATGCCTTTGACAATGTGCTTTTGGTGTGGGAAACTGATAGGTTTTAATGAAAGCTATAAAATAAGTTCTCCGTATTTCCACCTTTGAATTCATTGCTGACAGATTTACTGGTTGCATTTTTCTCGCACTGAGAATGCATTGCGAATGCGTTTTATACGATAGCTGATTTCTTGTACCTACTTTTTTTTTTGCTTGCAGTGGCACATCTAGTGATGAAATGTGCAACTTATACATTATGTATTACATGGAAGCCAAGCATGCGGTTTCCTTCATGACCTGTACACAGAACGTAGCTGCAGACATGTTCCGAAGCATACCTCCGGAGGCCAATATTCCGATTCCCGTGAAGCCTGATATGCTTATGATGCATGGACACCACAAAGGTAAAATCAGTGTCTACTATAAAGGAACAATTGATTTTGTATTTTTTATAGATCTCTCATGACTGCATGATAAATATTTTTTTAAAGAATTATTTTATTTAACTTTATTTAAATTTTAACAGAGAGGGAACAGACAGACAGAGAGAGAGAGACAGTGAGAAAGCAAACTGCCAGGTCTGGGATTTGAACTGCGGTCAGCCATGTGGGAGTGCAGTGCCCTTAACCACCATGCCACCTGCTGGCCCAATGATAACTATTTAAGATCATCTTTATTTCTTTCTTTGTCCAGACAGTTCCATGTGTGCACGTTTTCCTTTCCCTCTTTTCTCTTTACTATCTTATCTGCTCTCTCTGATTTGGCCCCATCGCAAGAGTTAAAGATAAAAACCTCAACCAGTGATGAAGCAGATTAGTTTGGGGACCATTCCCCTAAATGTAGACCTTTCTTCGTGTAGTTCATATTGTCTCGTTTCCCCCACCTCATTCTTGCCATAGCCAGCACTGACTGCCACAGCTTATGAATGTACGTACCATGGTCCGAAGAGCGATACAGTTTGCCAGTGCAAGTGGTTATCATCTCCAACCATACCCTGACGTGTCTGCTTAATGGGCCTCTTCACACAAAGAGTCATTCTGGATTCGTGAGGCATTACTAATGTAGGCTGTTTGGTCTCATCCTCAGACTTGTTCTCTAACTTACCGTTCATCTACAGAATGACCGTATTGACTATGATTCTTCAGCTGAAAATTACGAAACTCACACCCTTTTTTACTGCGTGTTACAAGCTCAGTCTTAAAATGCCAAGGCAGCTTCTTTCTTCTTTCTGGTGAAGATTTTATGAGGGACGTAAGCATGCCCATCAGGTTGTTTATTAAGATCCTACTATATTTATAGAACATGCCTTACTGTGTTAGAAAAGATCCTTAAAATATTACTATAAGTTCAATTTTTAAAAAATAAGACTAGTTTTGGGACCAGTGGGTGGCATGGTGTTTAAGGCTCTGGACACTCCCACATGGTCGACCACAGTTTGAGTCCCGGACCTAGTGGCTTACTTTCTGACTTTCCCTCTCCTCTCTCTCTCTCTCTCTCTCTCTCTCTGTGTGTGTGTGTGTGTGTGTGTGTGTGTGTGTGTGTGTGTGTGTCTGGTCAAATTAAAATAAATGAACAAATAAAATAAAATAATTCTTTAAAAAAAATAAGACTAGTTTTATTAGTGCATTTTTAAAAATTCTGTACTCACATTACTGAAAGCAGAGTTGACTCAGTTATGAAGGCAGAAGTCTGGTGATTAGTGTTGGCACTGGGTGGGAAGGTTGTGACTCAGAAGAGCAGCTCTACCATATAAATTCTTCTTACTGTCATAAACATAAGACCCTGCTTAGTATGTTTATGGTTATGGCATATTTCCAATACACTATTTAAAGTTTGTAATGTATACTGCAAATTTATGCTTAGCATCTTTGATTTACAGAAACAGAAGACAAAGATAAGACTGCTTTACTACGGCAGCCCAAACAGGAAGAAGGAGACGTGATTGATGAGGGTATGTTTATTTATGTAGTTACGTCTACAAGAGTATTCATTATCCAAATAAGCAACCGAATTGTAAAGGCACAGAGATATTTTAGGCCTCTCTGAATCAGCCTCAAACCCTATGTATTTTTTAAAACATAATGCATAATTCATGAGGAAATGATCAGTTAGTGAACTTTAGCCTTCAAAGTAAAATTCATCCACATAATTTAGTCCTCCATTAGGTTTTTCTGTCTTCGCTTCAGTTCACTTAATACTGTAACTTTTATGTGTAGCAAAGTTAGTGCAAATATAACTATGAAAAACAATCAGGGGCTGCTTTCTAAATCTAGTGACCTTTGCCGCTTACATTCTTGTGTATTTTGTGTGGTATGCTCCCTGACTATATTTGAGGTTTAAAAAATAAATAAATAAAACAAAGAAAAGAAATTAGGAATTCGACTTGCATCTTGCTGATGTCAGATACTTCTTTCTGCCTTCAGTAAGGTAGGGATTATTGTATTATGCTCCTGGACTGTGTGTTATATTGTCATCTGATGGGTAAGAAAGTGTCTTTCTTCCTCTTTTCTCTTTGTTCGAAGTGGTCATGTTACAGTTTTAATGTCCTGGCACTGAAAAAATACTGAATCTTGTTTTTTGTTTTTTTTGAAGATAGTGCTTTGTGTTAGATGCTGGAGTACATTACCCTGCCAAGTATGGCCTACAGAGAATATGTTTTTAATCATTAGTTTAATGTTAATCCAAATACCCTTCTTCTGACAAAGTATACAAGACATCGTATTTTTCTTCCAACAACATGTAGACATTTCCTGTTTCTCAGACATTGTAAACAAATGTCTGTTAGAATTCTTTCAAATGTGGAGACCAGCAGTTAGTGTAATGACTATGTCACTGGACTCCCATGTAGTTGACTGTGGTTGGAGTCCCGGATCCGGGGGCGCCAACTCATGCCGAGCGTGTGTGTGTGTGTGTGTGTGTGTGTGCCCAAGATCCTGAGAGGAGAATGGAGGAAAAGGGATTGTGGTATGGCCATCCCCCTTGGGGGGTGATTTCTTGCTTTCTGTCTCTCTGACTCTCTCTGTCTGTCTGGCGAGCACAAGTGCCCTATAGCAAAGGAAAAAAAAAAAAAAAAAACCCTCTCCAAAAGAATTCTTTCAAATGTGTGTTATATTAGATCTAAGTCAGAGATATCACTTTTGCAGTAAAAGGGCAGAAAGGAGTATCTTAACAGGAGCAAGATACGAGTTTAATTCTCAATTTCTTTTTTCTTTTTTTTTTTTTTTGAATCTCAAATATAGACAGTGAGCACAAAATACACAAGAATTTCAGTGATAAAGGTCATTAGATTTAGGAAGCAGACTTTTGAAGAGGAAAAACACACTCTGAGAGAGGCACAAGGAAACCTCTCAAGGTTGTTAAGTGATGCGGAGTCTGTTCGGTAGCCTCTCCTGACACAGGAGCCGTTGAGAAAATACAGTGGCTTAGGTCCATGCTGTGTCTGTTCTTGTGTTAAGTCAAAACAGGGAGCTGATTTTATACGAAATGGCTGTTGAGTACAATTTTAAATAGCTAAATTGATTAACCCTGCTTCTGTATTTGGAGGAAGTGAATAGTCACAGCTTAAGCATAGCACAATTAACAGTATTTACTGGAATAACGCTGAAATTCGTTCAGATTACACTGCATCATTTTGACATCGCACACACTGTTAAAAGTACGTCTTGGAAATAATTTGATTCGTTTGGAGTACATTGCCAAATACCAACATATATGATACTCATGGAATGAGGCCATCATTTAGAAGCCATATCTTCTAAAATGTCTCTGTGGAAACTGAGGCTGGACTGTGGTTTTCTTTTGAAGTTATTTGAGGTAACCAGGGAGACATTGATGCCTTTTAAAGGTTAGAAATACAGAGATTCTGTTATCAAAATGACCTGAATGTCAATACTTAATCTGTTCTTTTTTTTTCCCCAAATAGTACGATTTAGGAAGTATCGTACATAACTACAAACCAAATCCTTTAAAAAGACTTTACTATTTTACCATTTATTTATTTGCTTTTTTTGTGTTTTATAAAGCATATCAAGATACAGAGATTGAGAGTTTTAAATACCCAATCCCTTACAGGTTCCGAGGAATTGTCTGGATACATAAGAAATTATTTTCTTGTAGTTTCTGTTCTCTTCTACTTATGAATAAAGATGCCTTAAATAAAGTGATTTAACTTGGATAGGAAGGGAAAACGTTCTGCCTCAGTTTTCATATTATAGATCATAGGCTGTGATTATTCATATGTCGAGATTAGTTGGCCATCAGAATGGCACCTCCTGGTTATGTGGAGACACTAGCTCACCAAAAGCCATCACAGTGGTCAGCATAATCAGTGTAATAGGCTACGAGTCCCTGGAGACCGCTGCCCTAGAATTAAGAAAGAAATACAGAAATACACCAAGTGTGCATATGTATAGATAGTTCTGTTGAAACACTAATGACATCAATTTATCTCCTTACAATACACAGGGAATATTGCCTCATTACTGAAAGAGTATTTCATTCTTCCCAGAGATATTTGTTTGCAAGAAAAATAAATAACTATTTGTATCCATTCCCTGGAGAGTCAAGCTGACCATGTAGTCAATAGGAAGACTGTAATTACCCAAATAAATTATATTCAGTTTTCTGGGGTACAAAAGTATTTTTAAATCCATGCATAGCCTTTTCTTTTTTTAATGATTAATTTTACATTTTTCATATAGTCTCCATCATGAGGTATACCATAGATAGAGCTTTTCAACAGAAAACTCCAGTTTCCATCTGTCAAATGGTTTCTCTCCTTGCACCCCATCCCCATCCCATGGATGTTCATTTTTTTGTGATTATAAATTTAATTTTATTTATTCATTCATTTAAAAAAAATTGACCACACACACACACACAGAAGTGGGGGAGGAGTGAGAAAGTAAGCCACCAGGTCTGGAACTCGTACTGTGGATGACCATGTGGGAGTGTCCAGCACCTTAACCATGACACCACCTGCTGGTCCCTCCATGTATGTTCATTTTCATAGTAAATCCTCAACCTTAACCCTTCACCTTATTTTGGTGTCCTAGCCAAAATTATTTGTGTTCAAGAACTCCTCCAGAAGGTATACACTTTAAAAATATTTTTTAGCCCCCATAAATAAGTCCTGAATTATTTTAGCTATGCCGAAGGGATTGTGGTGTGGCCATTTCCTCCTGGAGGGGGGATTTCCCACTTTCACTCTCTCTGTTTCTCTCCTCTGAGTGTATGTGGTATAAATACATAGTCTATAGTCCCCAAATTATGAGTGTATATGTATTATGGTGTATAAAATACATATTACGCATGATACATATGTGTGTGTTATTTTAATGTTTAGATTATAAGGTATGCATAGATTTGTATCCTGTTTTTAAAGATGTTATATCTTGAATATTTTCTCCAATAGTAAATTTTTTTCCCCCAATGGTAAAAATTATTGACAAGAGGGCCAGCAGGTGGCGAGGTAGTTAAGGTGCTAGATTTCCACAGGGCTGACTATGGTTAGAGTCCCAGACCTGATGGCTTGCTTTCTCACTTTCTCTCTTTCTCTCTCTCTCTCTCTCTCTGGTCAAGTCAAATAATAATAATAAATAAATAAATAAAATTAAATAACTAATTCAAAAAATTATTGACAAGAATGACTTTTTTTAAGTTTTTAAGTTTTCTATTGTTAGAGGCTTGTGTGCTTGCCAATAAAAGAGAGAAAGCACTCTGCAGTGGGGCGTGGTCTTGCCACAAGCTTATTTTTCTCCATTTTCCCATCCTCCGAGATTTAGGGGCATGCGTACACACACATACATATATGTGCCATCATTTTAAGGAGCCATGGATTAGAACCACAGTGAACCATGTGGGTTCCCACCCCCCATGCACAGCACTTACCCCTGCACTAGGGGACAGGCCCTGACTGGTATGATTTCTCAGGGGCTGCATAGTACATGCCCATACCCAGTTTCACCATAGCCTGTTTGCAAACAGGTGAGCTTACCCGTGAATGAGTTATTTCTGCCTTCACGCAGGAAACACTGGTGGGCATTCACAACCGACTTTGAAATGTCACCATCCTTTGAAACATTGACGGTGGAGAATGACCTGTGCATGTATTAAGCCTAATAAACTAAACAACGAACACAGCTAGACGCTGACGGAAGTAATCCTAGCAGACTGCATGGAATGAGGGTGGTGGCGTGGAGGGCTTAAAGAGCAGACACACAAGTGGCCCTCATACGAGTGGCATTTTTGTGAGTTATTTTTTATTTTTACATATTGTGTTTTCTTATCAATGTGCACTTAGACCAAAGTACAGCTTGCACTCTCTGGGCAACATGGGTTAGGCACAGAGTGTGAGCTGAGACGAAGAGCAAGCAAAGACCCACACAGCTGCTTTAAAGAGGTCTGAATGTGAGTGTTTCTCACTATAGATGTCGGATTTTATGTCAGTTGTTTAGGGAGGAGTCTAGGTCTTGAACATGTCAGGGCAGAGGGGCAAGCAGGTAGTGTGGTGGTTAAGGTGCTGGAAACCCCACATGATTAACCATGGCTCAAATTCCAGACCTGGTGGCTTGAAAATTACACCAGGCATGTGTGTGCATGCCTGAAATCCTGAGAGGAGAATGGAGAACAGATTGTGGCGTGGCCATTCCCTCCTAGGGAGGGGATGATTTCTCTCTGGGAAGCACACTGCCCAATGACAAAAACCTAATAATAATAATAATTTAAAAATCTCTGGACCAGCAGGTGGTATAGTGGTTAAGGCACTGGACTCCCATATAACCAATCGTGGTTCAAGTCCCAGACCCAGTGGCTTGAAACTCACACTGGGCATATGTGCATGCATGCCCAAAATCCCAAAATGATAATGGAGGAGACGGGATTGTGGTGTGACCATCCTCCTGGGAGGAGTGATTTCTCACTTTCTCTCTCTGTCTCTGGTGAGTACATGCA